ATGTCATATTCAAGAGTGGTATCCAAAGTTCAAATCTGTATCCATCAAGACATTAATTCATCAACTTCCCGAGTCATTTATTCAGTACCTTCTTGATGACTCAGGGCCCTTCCTGTTACCTGTTTCTGTCTTAAATGAAGATGCATTACCCAATAGAATTCATAATCCATATGTGGAAGAAGATTTTAAGGTTTCAGAGGGATCTAGAGATGAAGCAGAAAGTTTTCAACCACCTTCTTTTCCAGAACTAGAATTGAAAATTAAGGAATCCATTGTGTACCTTAGGGGTGCAGTCTTTCCCAAGCTTAATTGGAGTGCCCCAAAAGATTCAGCTTGGATAAGTACTGTTGGTACCCTTCGGTGCACCAGTTTCAGTGACATTGCACTTTTATTTTGAGCATCTGACTCATTGGTCCATGACTTGTGCCATGCGTATGATTCATGCCAGGATAAATCTTCAGCCAGGCCCCATAATTTCTTTCTTGCACTCTGTAATGGTATCCATCTCTTCAGCCAGACATGGAATTTGATGTTTCGTACGAAATCATAAGTTAATTGGAATTTCTCAACGAGAGGTTATTACTTTTTATTTATGTTTTACTTGAAAAGAAGAAGGATTTCCTTTCATTGATACTAGCTTTTTTAACAATCATGTGAGGGCTAAATTTGAGTCAGAAAACTACACATTGGATGTTTATATAACAAAGGATGAGAGAGTGAAGGTTATAGATTTCAACCCTTGGGGTGCCTTTAAATTGCCCTTGTTGTTTGCATGGGATGAATTAGAGCAAATTTATACTAGAGGAAATGATGTGGAGTTTAGAATTGTGGAAGATCGTTGCGCTGTTTGGCAAGGACTGCAAACAGCTGTTTTTTTTATTACTTGGATACCAGTCCGGGAAGTGGTTGGGAACAATTTCTAAGGACTGCAGATGAAGAGTTAAGACAACAATATACAGAAGCTGATGCATGACAATTATCTGCTGTTTCTCTAAATTATTACTTGATGTAGCAAGTAAAAAAGTAGCTTTTGAATGTGTATTTTGAGTTTCTTGACAAAGGGGAAAACCCGTGTTTGAAAGCATTACCTCACAGAGGATGAAGATTTCTTGTTTAACAGAAACCTCTTAGTCTTTATGGTTGTTAAGTTTTTTTGTGGAACTTCAAACATCAGATATTCTTAATTAAAGTTTTTATGTTAGTCATTGTATGCTGCTACCAATTTCAGGCCTTCGGATAATTTAAGTGTTGAAACTGACGTGACAATTGTGTACTATAGTATCATTTACTTATTTTCAATAATATACTAACTAAACTTTGAGGAAGTTTTGTGGGTAACACTGGAAATACAACATCAAATCATTGTCCCATGTAAGAACGTGTGTTACGATTGTGTTGGCACCAAGTGTTAGGAGCTCAAGTTCAGTAAGCTTGTGGTTCTTAGATTTATGCATATGAAAAAAAAACACTGTTGGTTGGCGTCCTTTCATGTCTGAGCATATACTAAAGAAATTTGTTTTTTAAACTAAAAAATAAGTGCACCATACCAGCTATCAACTTCAATATTATGTTTTACCAATTATTTTCCAGGTTAATTTGTATTTGTTTTAGTTCTGGAGGCATACACTTCCAGTTAACATGAATTAAAGATGCAAATCTTCTTTTCACCTTTAGACTTTGTTCACTTGAATAGATTTGAAGGAGAGTGATTGAATGAATTTGAGAGGATTTGAAGGTAAACTTTTTGTTATTTATTTGAGTGAATTTTTGAGGTAAGTGAAAGTGAATTTGGAAACAAATTTTTTTAATTTGTCACATCAATCAAATCATATACTAATTCTTACAAATTTTACTTCCAAATTCACTCTTATTTACCTCCAAAATCCACTCAAATAAACAACAAAAAATTTATCTTCAAATCCATTCAATCACTCTCCCATAAATTCATTCAAGTAAACAAGTCATTAGTGATTAGTGATCTGATTTTTATTGACTATGAGGATGAGTTCTTGCATTGTATTGCCGTTGAAATTATAAAGCAACATGAAAGTTAAAGTTTGTAGAGTTTAAATTTGTTGCACTCTACAAGTGGTTGGATAGTGTATTTACTGTCTGAATTCTATAAAATTAAAAAGCGTATGTAGGTTCAACTATACCCTTTTTGTTCTGCATCTTACCAAATATTTCTAAAACATTTTTAAGTTCTATTGAATGCCTCCCATAGATAGGTAAACCTATTTTATTTTTCATAGTGAAATAAAAATGTAAAACTTTGTTTTTTCTTTTAAATGTAATGATTATCTCTCTTAGTTGTGGGTTCTTTTACGTTGTTATCACGTTTGTATCGAAGGGAATGCTTGTGAATTTCATGACNTTCTTATCTAACGTCTAATCTAATCTAATCTGCCTGTTCTATTTTCTTAAGCCACCCAATTGGTCTCTTATACTTGGTTACGGAATACCAGATACCGATTGTTAAAGAACAGGGACTTCAACAGGTTATAGTTAGTAGAGAAACACTGTTACAGAATATTAAAGTGGAAGAGGTGAATTGATGTCATATTCAAGAGTGGTATCCAAAGTTCAAATCTGTATCCATCAAGACATTAATTCATCAACTTCCCGAGTCATTTATTCAGTACCTTCTTGATGACTCAGGGCCCTTCCTGTTACCTGTTTCTGTCTTAAATGAAGATGCATTACCCAATAGAATTCATAATCCATATGTGGAAGAAGATTTTAAGGTTTCAGAGGGATCTAGAGATGAAGCAGAAAGTTTTCAACCACCTTCTTTTCCAGAACTAGAATTGAAAATTAAGGAATCCATTGTGTACCTTAGGGGTGCAGTCTTTCCCAAGCTTAATTGGAGTGCCCCAAAAGATTCAGCTTGGATAAGTACTGTTGGTACCCTTCGGTGCACCAGTTTCAGTGACATTGCACTTTTATTTTGAGCATCTGACTCATTGGTCCATGACTTGTGCCATGCGTATGATTCATGCCAGGATAAATCTTCAGCCAGGCCCCATAATTTCTTTCTTGCACTCTGTAATGGTATCCATCTCTTCAGCCAGACATGGAATTTGATGTTTCGTACGAAATCATAAGTTAATTGGAATTTCTCAACGAGAGGTTATTACTTTTTATTTATGTTTTACTTGAAAAGAAGAAGGATTTCCTTTCATTGATACTAGCTTTTTTAACAATCATGTGAGGGCTAAATTTGAGTCAGAAAACTACACATTGGATGTTTATATAACAAAGGATGAGAGAGTGAAGGTTATAGATTTCAACCCTTGGGGTGCCTTTAAATTGCCCTTGTTGTTTGCATGGGATGAATTAGAGCAAATTTATACTAGAGGAAATGATGTGGAGTTTAGAATTGTGGAAGATCGTTGCGCTGTTTGGCAAGGACTGCAAACAGCTGTTTTTTTTATTACTTGGATACCAGTCCGGGAAGTGGTTGGGAACAATTTCTAAGGACTGCAGATGAAGAGTTAAGACAACAATATACAGAAGCTGATGCATGACAATTATCTGCTGTTTCTCTAAATTATTACTTGATGTAGCAAGTAAAAAAGTAGCTTTTGAATGTGTATTTTGAGTTTCTTGACAAAGGGGAAAACCCGTGTTTGAAAGCATTACCTCACAGAGGATGAAGATTTCTTGTTTAACAGAAACCTCTTAGTCTTTATGGTTGTTAAGTTTTTTTGTGGAACTTCAAACATCAGATATTCTTAATTAAAGTTTTTATGTTAGTCATTGTATGCTGCTACCAATTTCAGGCCTTCGGATAATTTAAGTGTTGAAACTGACGTGACAATTGTGTACTATAGTATCATTTACTTATTTTCAATAATATACTAACTAAACTTTGAGGAAGTTTTGTGGGTAACACTGGAAATACAACATCAAATCATTGTCCCATGTAAGAACGTGTGTTACGATTGTGTTGGCACCAAGTGTTAGGAGCTCAAGTTCAGTAAGCTTGTGGTTCTTAGATTTATGCATATGAAAAAAAAACACTGTTGGTAGGCGTCCTTTCATGTCTGAGCATATACTAAAGAAATTTGTTTTTTAAACTAAAAAATAAGTGCACCATACCAGCTATCAACTTCAATATTATGTTTTACCAATTATTTTCCAGGTTAATTTGTATTTGTTTTAGTTCTGGAGGCATACACTTCCAGTTAACATGAATTAAAGATGCAAATCTTCTTTTCACCTTTAGACTTTGTTCACTTGAATAGATTTGAAGGAGAGTGATTGAATGAATTTGAGAGGATTTGAAGGTAAACTTTTTGTTATTTATTTGAGTGAATTTTTGAGGTAAGTGAAAGTGAATTTGGAAACAAATTTTTTTAATTTGTCACATCAATCAAATCATATACTAATTCTTACAAATTTTACTTCCAAATTCACTCTTATTTACCTCCAAAATCCACTCAAATAAACAACAAAAAATTTATCTTCAAATCCATTCAATCACTCTCCCATAAATTCATTCAAGTAAACAAGTCATTAGTGATTAGTGATCTGATTTTTATTGACTATGAGGATGAGTTCTTGCATTGTATTGCCGTTGAAATTATAAAGCAACATGAAAGTTAAAGTTTGTAGAGTTTAAATTTGTTGCACTCTACAAGTGGATGGATAGTGTATTTACTGTCTGAATTCTATAAAATTAAAAAGCGTATGTAGGTTCAACTATACCCTTTTTGTTCTGCATCTTACCAAATATTTCTAAAACATTTTTAAGTTCTATTGAATGCCTCCCATAGATAGGTAAACCTATTTTATTTTTCATAGTGAAATAAAAATGTAAAACTTTGTTTTTTCTTTTAAATGTAATGATTATCTCTCTTAGTTGTGGGTTCTTTTACGTTGTTATCACGTTTGTATCGAAGGGAATGCTTGTGAATTTCATGACAGTTACATTTTGCTGTGTTTAGAAGGGAGAGGATAAGATGAAGATGAAGTTAAGCTTGAGAAAGAAGAAAGAGTGAAGTGAAAATAAAGTACATGACTAATTGATTACAGATGCATGATGCATGAGACTTTGAAGGTGTTTAAAGTGCACCAATGTTCTTGAGACCAAGAACAACCCCAACTCCAATGATGTGGCCGACAGCACCACAGGCCAAGGTGTCTGCAAGAGTGAACCCAGCAGGGTCACCAGTCTGCAAGCCTGAGTCCCTCACCTCCAGCTTTAGCCCTGCAGTGGCTTTCCTGTTCGCTGATGGAGCCAATCCAAACCTTCCAGCAAACAGCATCAGGCTTGTAGAAGCCACCATAATCTGTTCAACATTTCAACAATCTCAGCTATCATATTAAGAACAATCCTATAAACAATATTCTCTCTCACTTCTTTTTCATTGCATATTGAACAAGAAACGGTATGATTGTTAGCACCATTCTGCAGACCCACCAAGCAATTCACATGATTGAGGCATGTATTAACAAGAATTTCTTATGTACCCTTCGGAAAACTGAGCTGTTATCTATTAAGCTATGCTTTGTAATGTACTCCAATGAAACAACAAAATTTAGAAATGAGTGAAATTCATAAGATCCTACCAGATTAGTGGATGAACCAATGTAGTCACATCGAACTCCCAAACCACCCTTCCCCTTGCGCCTCATGGGTTGGACAGCAACCTGTCAACAAAAACATACCCAGTTATCATAATCACAATACAATTGAAACTAAAGTTCAAATTCTCTATTCAGTTCTTTTTTACTGTCTCCTTACTGATTTTTTAAAATAACGTTGATATATTAAAAAGGTTTAATATATTTTAAAACATCAAAATTAATATCCATAAATGTATTTTGAAAACTAAGCAGAGAAACAACAATAAAAGCTCAGCTGAAAATCTATATTATATGAGCAGAAACAACAAGATCATGTGCAATCTGTGTCTAACATATATCTAAACTAAAAAAAAGATGGTAAATTTGTAAATATAAAATGTGCTGACCAAGTTCTGCACAGGGGCAGCTGAGAATTGGGGTCTGAGACCAGTGAATTGGGGGAGAGTGGTCATTGCAGTGGTTGCCATTTGTTAAAACTAAGAAGAGGAAAATGAAAATATGTTTGGTTTCTTCTCTCTGAGTCTCCCTTTTCTTGAAATGTTTTGTGGGTTTCTTCTGTGACTGTGATGTATCTAATGGCAGCCACATGAGGAATTTGTGGCCTCAAAAGGCCAAATTGAGATGGCCAAAGATTCGTTAGTCCGATGTGGCATTATATGATTTGGAGGAATGGATAATGGATAATGTCTTAACAGCCACGATGTAACACCCTCTTTTTAGCATAATATAATTATTTATTTATATTATTTAATTAGATTTATAATACAAAATAAAAATATTTTATAAAAATAAAATTAAGTTAAGTTTATATTGGAAAGAGAAAAAAAGTTAACATTAAGTTGAGTGTATAGTCATTTATTCTTTTTTTTTTCATTTATATTTATTGAGTTTGTGATGTTCGATAAAAATTGGATTAAATTATAGAATATTTAGTCCATATATTTTATATAATTAGTGATTTCATTCAACAATAATGTCTCAAACTAAGGTCATTTTAAGGAGTAAAGGTCAACTATGGGAATTACATTAAATTTATTTTTTCTTCCTTATTTCAGGATAATAGATAATTGGAATAGATTTTGAAACCAACAAATATATAGAATGAGACAGTTTAATACTAGAATAGTTAAGAAAGTTGAATCGCCGTTGTGTTATAAAAGTTTATATGATAATATTAGGAATGTTCCCAACCTAACTCATAAAAAAAAATTAAACGCGATCCAAAAAATTGATAATCAATTAAAATAAATTTGTTTGGATTGATTTGGATCTTTCTTTTCTAGAATCTTGACAGTTTAAAACTGATCCAATGTGTCTCACTTGGTTCATACTTGCAAATTTGTGGCAGAAGAGTAATAAAAATGTTATGTTTGACAAATGAATGAGTTGGAATGAGAGCTATCCTTGTAATGTGAAGCTCATTATTAATCTTGAGGGAGAAAATTCAAAAGGACTGATTTTGAATTCTGTACCCATGAATGCAAGTTTGTTATACATATAAGTGATAGTTATCCAATGATTTTAATTTCTCGAAAATCTAAAGATGGAGAGGTACATTTCCAAAAATAATTTTTAGCTTAATTTTCCAAATAAACATGCTTTGAAAAACTAACTTACCAACTCAAAATAAATATTTTGCCAAAATTGCATGCTATATTACTTGTATTAAACTTAATATAATAACAAATTAAATATTTCAATAAAATAATACATGACCTTTTGATTTTAAAGCTAATATAAATACTCACCAAACAAAATAAAATCATTCATATAATTAATAATTATTAAGAATAATTATCATATATAAAAAAAAAAATCTACAAAGGTTTGCCTAGAGTAACTCGATTCTCCTCTTTAACTATCATCTAAAATTATTGATGAAATTTTTGTAACAAAATTCAATAAATAGCATGTGAAAATAAAAGGTTAAAATGCGAATTACTTTTAAGTTTAATATGATAAGGAAAACACAACTAACCCAACTAAGTACTGATTTGGATTTCATATTATAGGTAAATTTTAAGCAACCCATCAACGTCTAGGCTTCATGCATAAGGAATATTCTTGGTGGAAGTTGTTTCTACAAGAAAAATGATAACATGCAATCCAAATGTCTAAAAGTGAGGTCGATTCTTGCACTGATGATTGACATGGTTTTTGGTATGTTAACAAAGCATCAAGACGTTTTTTTTTTGCCTATACTCTTTCTTCACATGAGATATAATCCAATCTCTGGCTGACTTGAAATGAAACCACCAAAACCAAACACTGATTTTAGCTCCATACAGATAGCTATACAAGAAGCTTCGAGGCCGCGATCCATTTGCGACATGTATGCAGGCAAACCACAATCTTACAGCCTGCATGTCACCTTATCATCAGGAAACCATAGTGTTTACATCTCTACAATCCCTGCATCTCCAACACGCTGTTCAAACCACCACTCACCAGTAAGATCAGTGATAACTCGCATTTGCCATTAATTTTTTGCTAATAAGCAGGGAAGAGGCAAAAGACAAGGCTAGGCCATACTAAGGAATATCCGATGAACTTTGTTTCCAGATACTTGTCATGCAGAGAGGAAGAAGAAGGCATCAAATATCTGCCTTCTGTATTCACTTTCTTCTGCTATAATATATTCCACTGCCAGAATAGTTATGATGTCGATGTCTTGATCCACTACCCCTGCCACTGTTTCCTTCCAAAGTGCTACCACGGCCACCAGTCTTGTTACCTACACTCTGCATCCAGTTTGCTGGCTGGGTCCCTAATCCATTAAGCTCCTCCTCTTCTCTGTCATTATACTCCAAAACAAGCCTCTTGATGTCTTCTTTCTCTTGAAGCTCGGCTGCTTCTTTCTGTTTTGTACTCTGCACCAGTGAGGAATTCCGAGGGATGAACATCTGCTTTGTTTGCTGCTTGTTTCCACGCTTCACAAGAACTCTCACCTGAACCTCTTTGTTTCCACCAGTATCCTTGTCCAATTCCTCATCACCACTTTCCCCACTAACTCCCCTCCCGTGGTGATCCTTGGTTGATCCCTCAAAGACATTCATTGGAATCATCATGTTCAATGTAGGACGACCCCGTAGTTCTTGCCTTCTTTGTTCCATACTCTCCTACAGAACATATGAAGCAATTACTTTGAAAAGTTAGAAATACCCAGACATAGCTAAACAAGACAGAATATATTTGAAATTACAAAAGATTTTTGAAATTTAGGGATTGGATGGAAAAGAGCTAAGAGAAGACAGAATATATTTGAAAGAATAAAATCTCCAAATAATTGAGATATAAAAGCGCAAATCAGTTCACAGGTCTCCCACCTAGTCAAACCATGAAAGGTTTGAGACTTACCCCCAACAAGTGATGAGGCTATTTCCAAAAATTGAACATGTGACTTCTAAGTCAAAAAGTAGTGACATTACTGTTGTGCCAAAGCCCATTCTCATTGTGATATATTATAAAAAACAAATAAAAACTCATTGTACAAGTGCAGCTCAACAAGTTAGCATGGACCAGCTCAATAATTAAGATAGTCTACTAATGAAGTTATAATCGTAATCTAATATCCAAACAAATATGAATAGAATCATCTATCTGTTGTCTCCAGTTTTCCTTTTCCCATTCTTTTTAATTCCAGATGATGTTCAATTAGAGGAAATTAGATTTAGTTTTTCTTTATCATAATGGCATAACAGTAGAAGTCCTGGGAAAAAAATTTAAATTCACAAAGAAAGCATCAAACTTTTGCAGAAATGTAGAAGGAGCAAGCAAATACAATAAATTATGCAAATACTTGCCTGCACTACAGCCTTGAGCTCCTGATCGAAATCAGCCTCTTCCAGAGGGTCCACCTCCGTCACTTTTTGTCTCACATGCACTTCATCCTCCTCATCGGTAGCAGGTCCAGGCCCATCATCGTCATCATCTTCATCATCCTCAGTTTCACAGCCATCATCTTGATTCTCTTCATCCAACTCTTCATCATCATGACCCTCTACATCAATTGTGTCACTCCCTGAATCAGTCTCACTGTCATTAACATCATCTTGCACTCCATTTTCCTCCGTACCATTATCAATTCTCTGTCCATTGCCAACCACAGTAGTAGTGGAAGTGGTCCTACTTGAAGACTTCTCATTGTCAGAATGTTTTTCACCACTAGCCTTATCAGCAGAAACTATCCGATCATGTTCCTCAAGTTCTACTAGAGCTGCATTCACTTCTTCAATAGAAGTGTAACGAGCCATATTGGGTCGTAAGTCCGCAAACAGATCCTGCACACAACAGATAATGAATAAAAACATTAAATTCAAGACAACAAAGATACATATACCATTTATCATGGCAAAATAAGACTACCTCTGTCCCAAAATGACTGCAGTTTAAGGTTTTTTCACATAAATTAAGAATATAAGCGTTACTCGAAACATTTTTACTAAAATAATCTCATTCTCTCATCTCAATAAATGCATTGCTTTTATTTGCTGCAAATAGAAACATCAATATAATTTATAAGTGGACAAATTATGAAGAAAATAATTACTTCGTTGAAAATCAAGAGTTTACCAATTTGGAATTCAGGTTAAAGCCTACGGGGGTAGCACAACATGCTAGTTATATAAACAAATCTGGTTGATACTAAGTTCTCCTTCAAAAGGTATTCCAGTGTGGTCATGCGAGCAGATGATGTTAGTGACCATTAAAAGCAAGAATAAACAAGAAAACCAATATACCTTTTACCAAACAAGAATAAAGAACAATTAGTTATCCGAAAGTGTCAAATCAAAAATAATAATAAAATTCAAGAAAGCAGCTAGGAAATTCTAAAGCTACTAAATTTTCTGCTCGTCAAAATTCTAAATATCCAGATGTTAGCTGCAATTGCCAAATAATGACATATAAGGCCACTAAAACAAATACATATCTATAGCATTAGTAGCCCAGCATTTACGGAAGAAAACAAAAAACTATAGCTAAATCAAAATCAATAAACAAACAAATTAGCATATTAACCACACCCAAATAATGAAATACAATTAAGAAAAGGGCTTTCTGACTGACCTGTAAGTCAAATTCAATGTCCAGAGGTAGTGCTCCTTTGCTTAAAATATACCTCTGGAAGTGTATTAGGAACCGATCAAGTTTCCTCTTAGAAGAGCCACGATCAAAGTAATGCCCACAAGTTTCAAGTAGAGTAATGATCAACCTTATGCGAAAACAATCTTCAGGTGGATCAAGTACATCTTGCTGATAAGATTAAAGAACAGATTCCATAATCACAAGAAGGCTCACACAAAAACAAGTAAACTGAGTCAAAGAAAAACATTGAAGCATATCTACATTCAAGCCACATGTTGACCGCATAGTTTTTAGCAACAAAGTGTGCAGTAAAATGTGGTAAAGGAAGCAGAAGATGTATAATAATGACAACGCATCAAAAAGTAAACCCATTTAAGTTTAGAAATGTTTACCGAGTATAGTTGCACTTACCTAGTTCAATTAGAAAATAAGATCTATGAAAATGCTGAATAATGAAAGAGAAGCAGTTGATATGAACAGAGTAAATGACATACAAAGTTGTGCACATTTTGAAGATGTCAAGCTCACGAATCATATTATAAAACAACAGGAAAAAGTAGTTTAAGAGTGGAATAAGACAAGAGACATACATGTCATCAAAGAACCAATTTGTCTTTATACTAATTCAACAATAGTGGAGCGTTTGTGTGTGTGTGTATACTTATTTCAAGGCTTGATAGGAATATACAAAGGAAAAAGCAAAATCAACGCACATTCATAGATCAGGAAAAGATGTACAATCGAATGCCATGAGAAATATCATCAACAGGCCTAGAGAAAAAGGGTAATTCATGTTACATATGTTAAAATGGTTTAATATCCCTTGTTCAGCTATTAGAAAGCTGCATTTGTTGAGTCTGGAAGGATCGGTTTGTACCCCTATTTCTCTTATTGAACATTGTCACACATACACATACATACATACACATATACATATACATACATACATACATATATATATATCTATATATATATATATCTATATATATATATATAT